AAAGCTTATGCCCAAATAAATCTGTTAGTCTTTAAGGTGCCACCAGACTCGTTGTTTTTAAGGAAGGATTTGTTTCTTGATGTGCAAAAGCAGAAAAAAAAGAAGAGTAGCTATATTAGTTATGTGGCATTGATAAGAAGAAGAGGTGGGGTTGTAAACTCAGCACACGCATTTTGTAGACACAAAGGGACACATTCCTCCTCTCGGTTCCACAGAGGAAGCTCCCTCTGAAGTCATTGGAATTTACACCCATATAACTTGAGGCAGGGTTTGGCCCATATTGACAACACCAATGAGTGATATTGAGAGATGCTTTTCTTACTATAACTACATGTGAAGGTGTGTTACATATCGAAAAAAAGAACAAACCTCAGGACCTGCTATTCAACACCAAATTAGTTATTGCAACGTACCATATTTTTGCATAGCCAAGTAAAAATATTACACAAAGATGCTGATCCTGCAAACACTTATCAGTAAATTTGTAAACATGAGTAGTCCTATTGAACTCATAACACGGATAAGTGTAGGGCCCAGGTCAGTTAGGGTACAGGGGAGCCAGCGTTTTAAAATGTTTAAACACTCCATATCAACTATACAAGATCATGTTTAAGACCTTTGCAAGCTAAGGTGTTTCTATTGAAAGGTCTCAACATGCAGCAGATTAATTAAAAACTAAAAAGAGATAGAAAAATTAAGTTAATTCAAAACATTTTAATTTAATTTACCTGGGATTGTTTTTTAGTGTATTTACTAAAAATTCATGTAGATCTATGCCAGTTGAATCTGTGTATTCTTGGCTGGAATCTATAAAAAACATAACATGATGTTATTGAAAAGATCATGTGCTCAATCTTTGAACACATGGTTCTTATTACATTTTTAAGGTGCTGTTCATATAAATGAATGAATAACTAAAACTCGGAATCTGGTAAATCTAAGATTTAGATGCATATATCGCGCATTAGCTGATCAACAGATACCATTCTTAACTCGGTAAACTCAGCCTCCCAATAGCTAAGAAGAGCTCTGTGTAGCTCAAAAGCTTGTTTATTTCACCAACAGAAGTTGGTCCAATGAAAGACCCACCTTGTCTCTATAGTAGCTAAGGAAAAGACATACAAGCAACAAAGTCTCATTTTGCAGATCCAATGTGGAATCGTAGGTTTTATTACTACTTTTGTCAGTTAACAGAGGTAACTGCATATTTTCAAGCATTATAGATTTGCTCTAGGTGACATGTAATACTTTAAAAAGTACAAGTCTAACCTTTGTGATGCATGATTTATCATGTATTGCTACAAGCTCCCATTCGGTGTACCTTTCCTTCAGTGGAATTACACATTTAAGAGACTCCTTCTGTGACTTCTCTTCAACAACTTCCAAATATCTCCTCATGAGAGCAAACATTTCAGGTTACGTAGTGCCTCTTCTGGTTCCTGCGATTTTCAACCCCTATTAGCTTGGGTGCCTATGCTTTGTGCCTCAGAATAGGCGATGCACAAAGAAATTTTATCTACCTTTGAACTATGTATTGGCACCCATTACTGCAATATCTGAGCACCTCCTAGTGTTCTAATTCTTAGGGCTCTCTTCTTAAAAAGATATGCTGAAGCTCCAACTCATTTCCAAGTGAAAAATAGCATAGACTTGTGCCTAGGCTCCAGCTGCCCATGCTGGTCAGTCCTGGATTGCCTTAATCCAGCCTGCTCTCAATTGCTCTTGAAAACAAGATGCCAAATTTCCAGGAGCATTCCTGGTCAAACATTTATAAAGCTGAAAAATGATGTGCACTTTATTTTAGTAATTTTGGTAAAATTGTGTAATTATCAGTTTTTAAACTATAACAATTTAGCATCATCAATGGGTAACTGAACTCTAACATTAGGCAAGTTTCTATTTTCAGCACACTTTACAAGTTAAAGTGCTTAAACTACCAAGTGACATGTAACAAGATAGAATAGTAGAGATAGGCAACGGTTTTAAGGCTATTACTCTGCCTTTAATTCCCTATCATCATTTTGAAGAGAATAATTTCTTTCATGATTTGTTTAGGGAACATTAAACGATAAACACACTGGTTAGGTTAAAAGAACATCATAGTGTGGCTTTCCCCACCCAAAACTTGATTTCAAGATTTGAGGACAAAAAAACAAAAAACACCTCACTTAATTCCTGTATCACAACTATTTTAATTTATGTGAACTTCTGATTTCCAACAAGGAAAAGAGTTACTGAAATGACACAAGAAAGGCTGCTATGGGTTTGAAGTACATGGTAAATATAAGTACTAGAAATTTCATTTAAAAAAATACTGGTTTTATGGCACTGCAGCACAATTTATTTGATTCAAGATGTCTGGATAAGTGTTTGGGGGTAATTTATTTGAACAAAAGCTGACTTAAAACCTCAGGATCATCCATCAGCTAACATATATACTCAAAGTTTTGCCATTTAATAAAGTGTTGTACACCAGGGACAGGAAGAAATGTGTATTATTTTTGCATATCTGCTATCTCAGTTATCCTCTAAGTTTTTGGTAAATTGAAAAGAATAGCTTGTCCTTAGCAAACCAGTCCACAACACTGTCAATGTTCAGGATGTTTTTACTCCTGCTATTGAACCACTCCCATCTTCATTCTGAAGAATTTAGAAGTCTTTTTCCTTTTAGGGACCTCTCAAAAAGCAGTTACAAATTTCTGTAAGAATATTGGCTTCTCATGAACATGGGGAAAAGAGCAGTACAATGGTACTCCTCCTCCCCCATTTGCTTCTCCCATATAAAGCCAAGGTATAATCTCAGCTCCCAAACTCCTGGGTGCACAAGGACTGCTCCCTTGTACAGCCCCTTTAGAATCAACTATCCCAAAAGGTATGTGGGGATAAGGGCAGGCAACAGCCCCACCATCTTCATCTCTCCCTGCATCAGGGAGGGAAGTATGTCTGCTTTAGCATGCACTCTCTCCTGCAAACTGGGAAGCACCCCAAGAGATGGTACCTCCTGAAATAGATTCCCTCCCCCTAGCCCTAATAAGAGATTTTTTCCCCCCTTATTTTTAAAAGTGAGGTAAGTTTTCAATTACACCTTAGAAGGTTAAAATCAAATTATTTCCTCAATGAATTTTCCCTTCACCTATTATGTACTCATACTATCTTCTTAATATTGGGATTCTGGCAATGAATGACATTTAAGCATCGGTTTCCAAACACAAAGAATTACACTGTCCACAAACAGATACACTGAAAGAGTAGGTCACATTTAGGCTTATCAGTTTTCTCTCTCTCTAAATTGAAGCAAGTAAATTCCATCCATTTCTCAACCACCACCATGAAAAATTAAAGAGAGGGGATCTGCTGTTCACCCAAGTGCAAACGTTAGTGCATCAAAAGTTGTGCATGTTGTGTTTACACACAGAAACTGCACATGCACAAGTGGACCTTGGGGTGAGGTTCCAAAGAAGAATCAGGCCTGAAGTCTTTGCTGAAAAACTATATGCATTTGACTTTCAGCACAGCAGAATTATTTACAGTAATTATTCCATCAAAGTCACTCAGGGTTATTAATATGGACGTCTACATCATAGATAGTTTACTTAAAATATAATTTAAAAGCAGAGTGATAACAAACCTCTTGATAACATTTTTCTGGACAATTTATCACTGGATTTTTCCTTTTCCGTTTCATCTTTTGTGGGCTTCTCTTCTTTCTCAAAAGACTGCGTTAACTGGATCTGAATTTTCTCCTGTTGAAAAGTAAGATCAGTCATAATGGAAACTATTTTAAGTGAGCTATGGCTGTACCAGAAAATTGCTTTGTAACATGTTCGTTCATAATGGAAAAGTAACCAGTGTAATAACTGTCTTCAGATCCTCTTAGAATCAGAGAACCCACTTCAAACAAAAACTTATCAAAATGTATAGAGAAGATATGGAAAGTAGACGCATTTAAATATTTTATAGCGCACATACATCTCAAGGACATATCCCATTTCACGATTATATTAAAGTGTTCTAGGTCTTTAAAAAAAATAAAGTATAGGCCAATTTTTTAAATAGTGAATCGCTCAGTTGATAATTAGGCTCCTCATTGCCAGCTTTTACTCACTCCACCAAGCAACCACATTGAGAATGCTAAGTAAGCTTTCATAGCACAACACCAATGACAAGAACTTCTTGAACAAATAGGTTCGAAGGGGGACCAGCTTTCCCAATTTCACCAACAAGTTGTTTACATTTCTTTAATAGTTTAGTGTATTAAGATAATAGCAAATAGTTATTTATACCTAGAATTTTTAGTTTAATATAGGTTTGCTAGCAAAGTATATTTTCATGTAATCCATCACAAAATCGGAATATATTTATTCAACTGGATACACTGTCAGAGACTGAATCCCCCCCAAATAGAACACAAAACTTTCCTTTTTAATTTAATCTAAACTAAAGACTAAGCCTACAGGTGACAGGGTAACTTGGCCTTCATACCTGTTTAATCTCTGCTGAGGCTGCCCGCGAGGGTGACAGCACCAGTTTTAATTTATTTGTGTGACGACATCTGCATATGGCATTGCTATGCATTTTCAACATTTGAAAATTAATAGGTCTAACAAATGTTGCTGAATTTCTACATTATCTGAAAACCAAAACAATAAATACTGAATTGTTCAAGTTACCTACAGTACATGCTATTTTTCTATAGACATCTAAAAGTTCAGTTTTTGCCATTACTAATCACAAATATTTTGCTCTTCCATGTATTCATGTCTTAGTCCAAAAGATTCATTTGGCTGAAAACCTGTAGTTTCCACACAAAAATCTTCTTTCTCAACTCACTATAAACCTGAGTATAGTATGAATAAGCAATTATTTTCTTCCCTTCATCTGAACTAAAAAAACTGGTGGCTCTTCAGTTACCTACTTTATTGTCTTTATGTTAACTTAGAAAAAGGAAACAGTTAATTTCTCACTAGGAAACTGGGTTAGCATAACTTGGATCCATCACTATGATACGCTATTCCACTTCCTTTTATAAGTCAGAACTACGTCAGTAGGTAAAAAGAGAATTTTCACATCACCACCATTTCCCTCCCATCCCCATTAATTTCACCCAGTTTCATCTGACAATTGCTCACTCTACACTTATCCCAAATAGAAAATGTACAACAATAGTTTAAAGATCTTGGTTAATAAATCAACTTTGTTTAAATTTCTTTCCTAATAATGCCCTATAACAATGGATAAGGCTGCGAATTTGTCACGGATTGTGTGGCCTCCCTGACTTTTGCAGCAGCTGGTGCGCCTGGCTCAGGGGCAGTTCAGGCAGCCCCTGAGCCAGTTGCACCGGCCACTGCTGGGGGAGTCTTGGGCCACTGCACCCCATCCCCCAGCAGCAGAGTATGGGTGTGGGAGGGGGCAGCGGGTTGGAGTGCTCCCCGGAAGCGGCGATATCCCCCTCACTCACCTCCTAGGCAGAGATGTGGACAGGCAGCTCTGCGGCACACGCTGCCTCCACTTAAAGGCCAATGGGAGCTGTGAAGCCAGTGCTCTGGGCAGAGGCAGCGCACAGAGCTGTGTGGCCATGCCTCCGCCTAGGAGTTGAGCGAGGGGATGTTGCCGCTTCCAGGGAGCCCCCCCCCCCAGTAAGCGCTACCCAAAGCCCGCTTCACCCCATCCTGTGCTCCAACCCCCTGCCCCCTCCCACATCCAAACTCTGCTGCTCGGGGGGGGGGGGCGGTGGGGGGAGGAAGAGATGAGGCACGGAGCCAGGTAGGGAGCCTGCCGGCCCTGCTAACCTCCCTCTCCCCCAGCACCAGCGGGGTCCTGGGCCATGCACCGCTGTCCCCCCCTCCCCCCCCCCCATGAGTACCCGGGCTGCCCTCCCCCAGCACCCATGGCACCCCTGAGCAGCCCCCCCCCTCCAAGTTTTAGTCAGGGTATACAGCAAAAGTGACAGATGGGTCACAGGCCATGAATTTTTGTTTACTGTCTGACTATTTACTAAAAATACCCGTGACTAAATCGTAGCCTTAACAATGGTAAAAAGGAATGCCCCAATCGAATGGATGCATTTCTTCTACCACCACTGATTCCCCAGGACTGTGATGGAAAGCTTCCTGTGCCTCAAAGGCTGTAGAGTCTAATGAAGTATGACCCACTTGCCTGGAAAGTTATAGGGGAAAAAAAATCTATGGTTAGCTTTTATTCCCTAGGTAAGGCTGTGTGTGCTTTGGTCTGTCAGTGGTGAGGATATTTACTCTAGGCATATTGCCTTAAAAGAATCCACACTGAAATTCAACTCTCTCATCAGAGCTCTTCATTCGCTTCTCTGTTCACATACACTGAGATATATTCTTCACTTCCACTGTTAATAGTCATCTGAGTTACCCAGCTTGTAAAGTATCCTAAAATTCATCCTCACTTTCTGAGTCCTCAAGAGCTCTAGAATTTGACTTAAAAGGATTCAGGGCCTGGTCTCAGCTTTCACCCAAGCCTCTGGAATTAACAAGCATAAGTGGTGACCCAGTGAAAAAATCCAGGCCACTGAATGAACATATAAAATAGTCCTTGACTTTCATATATTCTTCCTTTGGCTTTTTTTTTTTTTTTTTAATTATTCTAAGGAAAATGTC